GCCAGTGAGCGGCTGGTCTGTATGTGGGATCCGAACCCTCGGCGGGAGCGCCGCCGCGCTTCCCAAGCGGCGCACTGTAGCAGTGCGCCACCAGGCCGGCCCAAAAAGAACTGATTTTTTTTTAAATCTGTTAACCGAGAAAGAAAAACAGTTTAAAAAATCTTAATAATTATTTAATAATGTAAAAATTCTCATAGCCAATTAATTTTTTCTGGTAAATAACCAAAGACTTCTAGAACAATTATTATTCCTTTCTGTCATGCTTTTAAAATTTTCTTTAAAAATGGATGTATAAGCACAATTCATTTTTCTAGTTCAATAAAAGACTTTGTATAATCGAATAGCATGTATCTGTGCACAAAATAATGGACTAATGATGACTTTTAGCAGTTAATTTTTTAAAGAACTCTGGCCTAGAAATATTTATTCCTTTATTCATTCATTTATTGAGCATTTATCAAACATTTGTCCAGTCAGTGTTCGTGGCCAACTCAATGCTCACCTCTCATGTATTCATAAAAAGGGGTAGAAAAAAATAGCATAAGAATGAAACAAAGCCCAAGAGAGAAATGGATACTGTTGGAGAGCAGTGTTTGTCACACTGAGATATGAGGACTGCCTGTGTCAAAGGCCCCCGAAGAGTGCACTTTAAATGTAAATTCCCAGGCCCTTGGACTTTTTGAATCCGAGTATTGTCAGTAAAGTCTGGGAGTCTATGTTTTTTATCTCCCCCCCACCTCTATAAATCTTATGAGTACTCAAGTCAGAGAGCACCAGTCTAGGCACGTGAAGAATGTCTCCAGGACTAGATGAATTACTTCAAAGGGTGATGAAGGAACCAGCAGATGTGTCCTCATAGGCACTCAAGATGACCTTTGAGAAATTCTTGAGCATGGAGATAGATCAGTTGTATCTCAGTTTCAAAAATGAGAAAAGTGTAGATGCCAGAAGCCACAGACTTGTAAGCGTGACATGACCTCTGGGAAAATTTGGTTTCAAATAGATGGATTCAAAGCATTTCGAGGAAATTGTGATGATCACTAGGCATCATCATGGGTTCACTAAAACATTGTCCCTATTAGAGATTGTCAAACTTTGCCGCATATTAGAATATGGATGCCCACCCCCGCCCAATACCAATTACATCAGAACCTCTGGGGGTAGGACTTGGGCATCAGTACTTTTAAAACCCTGATTTAAAGAATTGAAGTTGAAAAACCCAGATTAAATTCTGATTTAATGAGGTGCAGGCTGAGTTGGGAATTTTAAAATTTCCCCAGATGATTCTAATTGCAGCAAAGTTTGACAACCATGGGTCTCTGTGACACTAGGCAAGTTGCTTTAACTTCCTTGCCCTTTGTGTAAATAGTAGGTAATTTTAAAGGTATTTCCAACCTTTAAACTTCTATGATTCTGTTATTAAAAATTATGCTAAACTGAAATCCTTTCTCTCTTTCTCCCTCCCTTCTCTCCTTCCTTCTTTCCTTTTCTCCTCCTCCTTTTGCTGGGGTAGGCTGGAATGTCAAGGTATCAAACCATATATTGTAATTTTATTAAAATATTTAGTAAAATTTCTCAGGATGTCTCATAGATAAATAAGATGACAGTTACGATAGGTGAATTTACCAGCTAACTGAACAAATATAAGTACGCTCAGAATATGTGAATGTAATGGATCTGTGATGACCCTGGAGAGTGGTCTAGAGTGGAATGCCACAGGGCTTGTTCTGCCCTTAGACCTGACCTTGTTAACATTCTTTATCCATGATGTAGATAAGGAAGACATAAAAGAAATGCCTATCAAATTTGGAAATAACCCAGTTTAGGAGGGTTAATTAATTCAGTACAAGAAAGAATCAGGCCACGCTCTGATTAGAAAATCTGTTTGTTCAGGTTATTGTTTTAGAAATATTCCCATAGATTAAATATTTTACTCTTTTAGTTTTCCCTTTCTTTAGTTGACTTGAAATTTTGAAGCTTTTAGTGTAGTAATGGAAAAACAGACATGTCAGATAGAGTCCAGAATCAGTTGTTCTCTGACTTTGTTCTCTTCAAGAAATGCAAATATATTAGATCAGGCTGGTTTGGAGCATCACAAAATAAAGGAAACATTACCCCAAAAAGTGATGAAATGGTATACTATATATAAAGGGATTTTGTTGAAAACTCCCATCAAGTGGTTATGGACATGCCAATTGTGCAAACTCATCAGAAGGCCTAGTGAGCATGAGGGTAGACTTTGGAGGGGCCTCAGCAATGCCTGGAGAGCTTTTCTAAAAAGGACGCTCTCACAGATTAGGACTCCTAAATTTTGGGGGAAGTCTTGAGCCTCCTTTTTTTTAAACAAGCATCCCCAACTGATTCTGAGAAATATTGTCAAAGAACTCACTTTGATTTGAATTTTGACAGTTGTTTAAATATGTTGTTGTCTCATAGTCAGCCTCCAGTTTGTATTTATAAAAACCCAGATAGATTTAATTACTTTGAGCTTAAAACTAAAACAATTAAATTACGTCAGCTTCTCCCTATCCCATTCCCTATATTTCAATGAGAAAATTGTAGACTTTTACATTTCAATTTTTCTTTTCATTTTTAACGCTTTATTTTATACAGAGCTTGATCTGACCTAGACATGTGGAAACTATAATTTATGTGTACCAGAAAAGCAATCTATAGCTGCTCTGTAGCTGCTGCTGTGTTTTAGAAAATAAATCAGGATTACATTATGTCTGATCACTTTCCATATCACATGATGAACAGCAATTCAGAGAAGCATAAAATGATTCCTGCCGAGCACCCCCCTAGATACCATGTTATTAACTGGCAGTTTTCTCTCCTCCCTTCTGTGTCTTCCTCATTAGTATCTGACCGAAAGGGATCAGCTAAGAGTGGCTCCTCGCAGAGTAAAAAGGGAGGGACTTTTCGCATTCTGTCTTGGAATCAGAAGTTGGATCACGAACACATAGGATTTAGATAAAAGTCATGGGGTGTGGCAGTTCTTCAATGAAAGACAGGAAATCTGAGACAGGTGAGTGCTGGGAACATGCCTGTGTTTATGAATGAAAAGGGGCGAATGAGTCGGATTCATCCTCTCCCTGTTTACTGCCACGGTTCTTGAGCTGCCCTGTATGATTTTGTACAAGGCATCATCACTTGAACTGAAGGTGAAATATTGGGGGAACATGGGAAACTACCTTTAGGAAGATGTAACTTTGAATTTATGATGTACCATAAAGTATTATCTAAGAGATATTTTATGTTTGATTTAATTTCAGTTGAAAAAGTACCAATATAAAATCTCAAATTTAAAACTTAGCGGCAGGGAACAAGAAAGACACTGTCATTTATATCTGTTTCCTCAATACTCTTATAAGTAGCTATATCCATACCTATGTGACATTTAGTAGCATCTCTGAATTTTTATTAGATTTTATAACTTGGTGATCACATTATTTTTTATATCTGTTCAACACAGAGCTTCATGAGATTTGCCTCATGATTTTAAGATATTCTAGGGAGAATGGGGGTATACTAGATCATTTGTTTCCAAAAAAAAGTGTATTGTTTCTAAATAGATGACATGCCCCCCCACCCCCATATAATTAGAGGCTTAAATATTTTTTTTTAATATTTACTTTGCTTACTTTGTACTGAGGTTCTTTCTCATGGCTACTGGAATCTAGTTGAAACTCCACTGAGTGTTTAAGGGATGTAGCATGCACAAGCAAATTAAAATAAAAACAGATAAGTAAGCTGGAACAATTATATGAATAATTTGCCCCTGAACTCCTTCTTTTGTTATCTAGGTTATAGATAATTTTCCCAGTTTCTGTTCTACATCTTGGTTTTGGAAGTTTACTCAGGCTTAGGGTGAAGAGTTTAGGATGCAGAGTATTCTATACTAATTAATGTGGGATGTTTTCCTTTGGAAATCAGATGTTGTTCTCCGTCCTAGCTGATTTGTGCTGACGAATTAGCAAACTAATCTCTGAAAGTAGGAAGGGACATGGGAGGTGCACTAACTCTTTCAAATCTGTAAGCATGTCATGAAGTAAATCTTTCGAAAGCTCCAACTGAACTAATTCCATAGTAGTAATTTATCAGCAGAGTGAAGAGTGTAATTATCTTTTTCTATCTAGAATTACTCATAGCTCTTTAAATTTAGCCAAATTTCTTAGGTTAAAAAAAAAAAAAGTCCAAGCCCAACTTGGAAAAGCAAATTCACTCTCTTTTTGAAATATTTTTCAACTTTTAAAATGCTGCATGTAAATGGGTGTATTAGCTTAGATTTTTGGATTGCTTCCTTTTTCAAATAATTTATTGAGGTGGAATTCATATAACATAAAATTAACATCATAAAGTGAACTATTCAGTGGCATTTGGTACATGCACAGTGTTGTCCAACCGCCATCCGTATCTAGTTCCAAAACATTTCCATCACTCCAAAGTAAAGCCCCTTATCCATTAAGCAGTTTCTCCCTATTTCCCTCTCCCCCCAGCCCCTGGCAGCCAACAATCTGCATTCTGTCTCTATGTATTTATCCATTCTGGACATTTTATGTAAATGGAATCATACATAATGTGACCTTTTGTGTCCGGCCTTATATCCTAAAACCTTGCTGAGTTCATTCGTTAGCTATAATAGATTTTTAGTGGATTCCTTCGGAATTTTTATTTACAAATCATGTTATCTGCAAATAGAGATAGGTTTACTTCTTCCTTTCCAATGCCTTTTATTTCATTTTCTTGCCTAATTGTCCTAAGAATCTCCATTAGAATGTTGAATAGAAATGTGAGAGTAGACATCCTTGTCTTTTTTCTGATCTTAGGGGTAAAGCATTCAGTCATTCACCTTTAAGTATATTAGCTGTGGCTTTTTCGCAGATGGTCTTTATCAGGTTGAAGACATTTGCTCCTGTTCCTAGTTTGTTGATTGTTTTTTTAATTACAAAGTGATGTTTAATTTTATCAGATGCTTTTTCTGCATGTATTGAGATGATCATGTGCTTTTTGTCCTTTATTTTATGATATGGCATATTATGTTAATTGAATTTCACATGTTAAACCAACTTTGCATTCCTGGGATAAATCCCACTTGGTATAATGCTTTGTATATATTGTTGGATTCAGCTTGCTAGTATTTTGTAGAGGAATTTTCCATCTATATTCATAAGAAAGATTGGTCTATAGTTTCCTTTTCTTGTGATTTTTTTTTTTTTCTGGTTTTGATATCAGAGTAATACTGGACTCAGAATGAGTTGGAAAGTGTTCCCTTTTCCATTTTTTGGAAGAATTTGTGAAGAATTGATATTAATTCTTTAAACATTTGGTAGAATTCATCAGTGAAGCTACCTGGGCATGGGATTTTTTTGTGGGTAGTTTTTTGATTACTTATTCTATCTCTTTACTTATTATAGATCTATTCAGATTTCCTATTTCTTCTTGAATCATTTTGGTGGCTTGTGTTCTTTTATGAATTTGTCCATTTCATCTAAGTTATTTAATTTGTTAGCATATACTTATTCAGAATATTCCCTTATGATTCTTTTTATTCTTTCATTATGTCTTTTTGAATATGTCAATTGTTTATTATGAGTTCATAATATGATCTCATAATAATAAATCTGCTGGAAGCTGATGCAATGATGTTTACTTACATTTATCCATAGACAAACCTTTTATCCATAAAATATTTTTTCTCATTTAGAAATTTTGGAAAATATAGAAGAGCAATTGGAAGTAATTAATACTCATTCATCATTTCACTACCCAAAGATAATGACTTTTAACATTCTGATAATTTCCTCCCAGCTTTTTTTTGTGTGTGGAGTGTGGATTTTTGATCGTCTTAAATATTAGTTTTTTTGTACCATCACTTTTAGTACTAAAATGTTATTTTATAAACATTTCTCAAGTTGTTATGAATGCTTTTTTTTTTAAAGATGAGCGGTAAGGGGATCTTAATCCTTGACTTGGTGTTGTCAGCACCACGCTCTCCCGAGGGAGCTAACCGGCCATCCCTATATAGGGATCTGAACCCACGGCCTTGGTGTTATCAGCACTACACTCTCCCAAGTGAGCCACGGGCCGGCCCTAAATGCTTTTTAAACATCGTTTTAGCCATTGCTTAATATTTCATTTAGTAGATAGGCCATAATATGCTTAATTATTCTAACTTTGGACCTTTTTTTAACTAATATGAATAACATTGTGAAGAATTTCTTTGTGCAAAGCTTTTTCCTTATTTTGGACTATTCCCATATTTAGGTGATTAGGTATGAAATTACTGTGTCAAGGGCTATGAATATTTTGAAAGCTCTTGATAGAAAATATAGCTATTATTTTCTGATTACTAACTGTAATCCAGAGTGTTCAACATATTCTACATATATTTTATTTAATTCTTGCAATAAACATAAGTAAAGTGTTATTATTCCTGTTTATATAGTTGAAGCAGCTCATGCTCAGCAAGGTAAGTACTTGGTAAAGTTATACAACTTACAACTGCCAGAGTTGGGGTTTGAACCCAAGGAATTCTGACTAAAAAGTGTTTTTTACTGTCAACCATTACACCTTTTTATGCTGCCTCCTGATGTTGCTGCCTTCAGAAACTTGCTTTAATGAAATATACTTATATAAAGTATCTTTTATTTGCATAGTGCTTTTATAGTTGGCCAGGCCCTTTCACATCCATTTGATCTTCACAACCTTGTGAAGGGTTGTTCTCAATTTACAGAAAAGGAAACTGAGGCTTTGAGAGGCAAAGTGATTTGCTTAAGAGTACATAGCTAGTAAGTGGCAGACCAAGGCTACAGCTTGATTCCTAGTTTCTAGTGATCTGACTGGTGATAAGGGTTTTCTTTTGCCTGCTTAGTCATTTAGCCTCACCACAGTACTCTGCCTCTGGAGTACAATGGCAGTTTTGAGAAAGAGTAGCTTACATATGAAATCGAGGATATCCCCTTCTTGTGGGCCATCCACCTTCTATGTAGAGAAGTAGCATTGATTTTGTACTGTTATTGTTATTGTTGTTATTTCACTTCTTTTGTGATATACAAGAGAATATTAATAATAGCTATAATTTATTGGGTGCCTACTACATTAATTATTTCTCATCAAAACACTTGGAGGAAGCTTTGATTAATCTCCTTTTGTATATGAGGAAACTGAGACTTAGATTAAAGAACTTCTCAAAGTGACACACTAGTTGATGGCTGAGCCAGAACTGGAACAAGATCTGACAGATTCCAAAGTTCTTATTTGCCTCTTCTGATATGCTACCCTGACTTGGAGAATTGGAACTTATCCACATAACGGAAATTAAACATTGCAAATTCATTCTCCTGAACTTCACTTTACACTTAAAATTTTATGTTAATGGGTTTTCAATTAATAATCTATTGCCTTTTTTTTTTTTTTTTTCCCGTGGAGCACTTTGAGAACATTGATATATTTTATTTTATTTCTTCCCTTGAGACCACTTAGAAATGCATCTATTCAATTTCTCTAAGTGCTAAGGAGCCAACAGAGTCTATCCTTTTTTGGCTTTGAAGTGTGATGCTTAAGCTATGACAAATAAAAAATTTCTCTAATGGAGATTATCCTTTTCAAAAGTATTTGTTCTCTATGTCTATTTAAAAATTTAAAAATGCTAAATAGCAAACCAAATATTTCTTTAATTCTTGGTAGGATTCTTGGTAAAACATCTAGTTAATTTAGTTGTTTAAAAATCTTAACAATCAAGCCATTCACAACTGCTTGAGAGGCCCCCTTCCTTGTTTTTACTTTCTGCCAACTTCCTCACTCATTGGAGACTCACCAAGTGTCAGCATCATCCTGAGTATCTTCCCTGTACATATGGATAGCTCCAAAACGCTTTAATGTCTCAGTTCCTTGATCTCCTAAACTCCAGCAACCCTCTCTTCTACTCAACTTTGGCTGTTCACTCCCATTTCTTGGCCCCTATGGTCACTTGGAATGACTTCACCCCTGAAATCTTCATGATTATCATCCCATTCTCTGATCTGT